TAAAGATTGGAGCAGAAATTAATTAAAGCAAGAATAGAGAAACATTAGAGAAATCCAACAGAACCAAAAACTAATTCTTTGAACAGATCAACAAAAGCGACAATTTTAGCTGGACTGACCAAGAAAAAAAGAGAGAAGACTCAAATTACTAGAATCAGAGATAAAAGAAGGGGCATTATGACTGACCTCAGAAAGAAAGAGTTATACTATGAACAATTGTATGCCAATAAATTAGACAACTTAGAATGAAATGGGCACATTCCTAGAAAGATACAAACTGCTGAAACAGATTCAAGAAGAGTAGAAAATCTGAATAGACCTATAACAAGTGAAGAGATTGAATTAGTAATGCAAAAAACTACCCACAAAGAAAACCCAGGCCAGATGTCTTCACTAATGAATTCTACCAAACATTAAAGGAAAAATTAATACCAATTTTTCACAAACTCCCCCCAAAAATAGAAAAGGATGCCCTGAAGCCAGAACCAGAAAAAGATATCACAAGAAAAGAAAACTACAGACCAGTATCTCTTAAGAGTATGGATGCAATAATCCTTGACAAAATCCTAGCAAACTGAATCCAGTCACATAGAAAAAGAATTACATACCACGACCAATTAGCATTTATCCAGAAATGCAAGGTGACTTAACACCTAAAAATCAATGAATGTAATTCACCGCATGTTTAGAACAAACAATAAAAGCCACACGATCCTTTCAATAGACACAGAAACATTCAAAATCAACATTGACAAAATTCAACATCTCTTCATGTTAAAACACTCAACAAACTAGGAGCAGAAGGGAAATTCTTCGACCTGATAAAGGATTGAAAAGCTCAGAGCTGACGTCACACATAAAGATGAAAGACTAGATGCTTTCCCCGAAGGTCAGGACACAAGACAAGAACGTCTGCTCTCATGACTTCTATTCAATATTGTACTGATGATTCTAGCCAGGAAAATTAAGTGAGAAAACGAAATAAAAGCTAGCAAGGTTAGAAAGGAAGATACACAACTCTCTCTATTTGCAGATAACATCATTCTTTACATAGAAAATCCTAAGGAATTCACCAAAAAAGGGAGCAAAACTGAGGTATGTCTCAATACGATAGACCCCCGTTTTGAAAATGACTCAGACTGTCCAACACCAGAGTTCACTGGATCAAAATTAATCAGTGGCTGGAACTAGGCTTATAACCGTATTTTTAGGTGAGTAAAGCTGATTAAACTGACTTGGAGGTTATTTTTGTGTAACTACTTTAAAATCTATATAAAAAGCATGCTAACAGGCTGCACTTAAAAATTATCTTACCCCTTCCACTCACATGGATATCTAAACATGTGGACCACTTTTGAGAAATTTTGCCTTCCTGCTAATCATCTTCTGCAAGACCATATGTAAGAAAGTGCTCGTAAAAGGGAATTAAAATCTCTTCAACAAACGGTGCTGGGAAAACTGGATAGCCACGTGGAAAACAATGAAGGTATACCCTCAGCTTACACCATATACAAAAATTAACTCAAAATGGATCAAAGACCTAAGTGTAAGACTCGAACCTATAAAACTTCTAAAAGAAAACAGAGGAAATCTTCATGATATTGGATTTGACATGATTTCTTGAATATGACACCAAATGTACATGCAACAAAAGCAAAATAGACAAGTAGGATTTCATCAAACTTAAAAACTTTATGCATCAAATGACACAACCAACAAAGTGAAAAGGCCGTCTATGGAATGGAAGAAAATATTTGCAAATGATGTGTCTGATAATGGGTTAATATCCAGAATATGAAAGAACTGCTACAACTCAACAAAAAAAAGTCAAATAATTAAAAAATGGACAAAGGACTTGCATAGACATTTCCCCAAAGAAGATATACAAATGGCTAACGAGCATATGAAAAGATGCTCAGCATCACTAATCATTTAGGGAAATGCAAGTCAAAACCATGAGATATCACCCCACACCCATTATGACGGGTGTTATAAAAAAACAGAAAATGACAAGTGTGGAGAAAGTATGCACTGTTGTAAAACGGTGCAACCACTATGAAAAGCATTATGGTGATTCCTGAAAAAAATTAAAAATAGAATTACTATATGATCCAGCTATCCCGCTTCTGGGTATACATCCAAAAGAATTGAAAGCAGGATCTCAAAGAGATATTTGTATGGGGCCGGCCCGGTGGCTCAGCGGTTAAATTCGCACGTTCCACTTCTCGGCGGCCCAGAGTTCGCCAGTTCGAATCCCGGGTGCAGACATGGCACTGCTTGGCAAGCCATGCTGTGGTAGGCATCCCACATATAAAGTAGAGGAAGATGGGCATGGATGTTAGCTCAGGGCCAGCCTTCCTCAGCAAAAAGAGGAGGACTGGCAGTAGTTAGCTAATCTTCCTCAAAAAAAAAAAAGAAAGAGAGAGATTTGCACATTCAAGTTCATGGTAGCACTATTCACAATAGCCAAGAGGTAGAAGGAACCCAAGTGTCCATGGACAGATGAATGGATAAATAAAATGTGATATATATATATAATATATATATAAAATGGAATATTATTCAGCCTTAAAAAGGAAAGAAATCTTATCTCATGTTATAACGTGGATGAACTTCCAAGACATTGTGCTAAGTGAAACAAGCCATTCACAAAAAGACAAATGCTGTATGATTCCACTTATATGAGGTATGTAAAGTAGTCAAATTTATAGAAACAGAAAGTAGAATGATGGTTACCAGGGCCTAGGGGGAGGGGAAAAAGGAGAATTGTTGTTTAATGAGTATGTGGTTTCAGTTTTGCAAGATAAAAAAGTTCTGTGTATCTGTTTCACAACAATGTGAATATACTTAACACTGCTGAACAGTACATGTAAAAATGGTTAAGACAGCAAATTTTATGTTATGTATTTTTTTTTACCACAATTTAAAAAACAGTGTCCCCTGATGATAGGAGACAGTTCAGCTCGCAACTCTATGGCACGAGCACTTCTCCTCGAGAGAACCGTCAAACCTCCAGATGCAGCAGAAGTATTTCATGTCGACTTCCTAATTCATCACCCAGCATGCTAAAAAGACGCGTACACGGGGGATACAATTTAATAAAATTAGTAATTTTCACTTCTTTTCAGAACAGAGGCGATTTAGTGTGCCGGGTAAATTTAAGATAATGTTATGAGCATTTTTGAGATTTGAGTTGCTTGAGGCAGGTGTCTTATTTCATTTGCCTACCATTCTGACGCCAGGATCTAACACAGAGTCGGGACTTCGTCCAGGGTTCTGGGAGAAGCACTGGAGGGTTCTCCCAGCAGAGTGAGGAGAGGGGGTTTGCGTTTTTAAAGGCCCTCTGGCTGCTGTGTAGAGAAGGGATTTGGAGGAGCGAGTGGTGGTGGGGGGGGGAGGCGTCTGGAGGCCACTGGGGATCAGTTGTGGGGACCTGGCCAGGCTGACTGAGGGGGCTTGGACTAAGATGGGGGTAATCCCAAATTCCCGGGAGACAGAGTCGTTTGCTCCAGATTGGGTCAGGGGTCTAGAAAGTGGCCAGGAGGGAGGGAGGTCACATGACACAAGCTCGGCATCCGAGGGCTGCCCCCATGGATGAGAGAGGAAATGTTAAACTAAGAAGGGACTCTGGTTGAGCAGGTACCGCAAAAGGAGTCTGTGTTTGAAGCCAGTGCACTCCTGCTCCCTTCTGAGAGGTTACCAGAAGCTGGCTTGGTCCTCTGCCCTTTCTTGCTTTTATTCCTAAGAGTGAGGCCACCTCCCTATAGTGCCATCTTTAGATGTCCGTGCTGACCCCCATTGTGCCCTGGTCCCATCCTCTTCCTTCTCAAGGCCTTCCTTGCTGCCGTTCTCCCGGCTCTGTTCTCTCCCTTCCCCCTGGGCCATTCCCATCAGTATGGGAACCCTTAAGCACAGACCCCACCTCTAATTCCACATGGCCTCCAGCTCTACCCCATTCCTCTCCAACCCTTTACAGCAAACCCTTAATAAAGCTGTCCATATCTGCTGACGTCACATCCCCACCTCCTGCTCCGATGAGGTGGTGTTCCCCCAGACGCTCTTCCAGCAACAATATCTTCCAAGATTTTCCTGTTCATTCTCAACCAAGTGATGAGGACCAGATGGACCTGCCCCAGCCCCAGGGGTATGCCCTGACTTGGCTTATGCTAATCCGTGTATCCCAGGCCCCTGGACATAGTGACTGGTTCAAGATGGACACCTGACCCATTCAGGCCCATGAGAACTGAGGCATGTCTGATGGAGCTCCTGGGAAAGAAGCTCCCTTTCTCTTCCAAGAGAGCTCCTGGAAGAGAGGCTACCAAACAACTCTCTCTCCCTCCTGATGACAGACTGCAAAGATGGAACGTTTTAACCTGATGCAGCCATTTCTGCGGCCAAGAAGGAAGCTAGCCTGAGGTCCATTTCAGTCTACTGAGGCGGGAAGAACTGAGAGAATATCAGAGAAAGCAGACTGGAGCTCTGGTGACACCACAAATTTCTGGATCATTCTGTGCCTGAGGCTATCTGTGGACTGGTCCATTATTTGAGCCAATAAGTTACCTTTTTTATTCAAGCCAGCATGGGCTAAGACTTGTGTTGCTTGCAACCAAAGGATCCTAAAGAATACACTCTGCCAAAACAGCAAAAGAGGCTGCCTGCCAAGAGAAGCAAAACGATGAGTGTCTGTTCCTTATGACCAAAAGAACTCGAACTCTAACCCTGCGGGTCTCCTGAACGGGTCTAAGAGGGTCGTGGGGTGTATGCACCATGGACTCCAGCCTCCTGGAGCATCACGTGGCTCTAGTGACTTCTAGTGTAAGTACTTCACGACTATAAGTGTGAGAGCTGCAAAGGTGGTCTGTTCACCACTAAATCCCCAGCATCTAGAACAGTGTATGGGACATACAGCAAATGTTTATTGAATGAATGCATGAGTCACCCGAGCATGCCCCGGAGCCCCTCCCCTCAAATCCACCCATGGAAAAGAAACTGCAGCTAAGACCTTGCATGACAATTTATTCTCCTGAGACGGGAAGGCACTGGAAGGGGTTAGATGAGAGGGACGGGAGGGTAGACTCCGGACTCAGGGAGGGAGGAGCTGGGGAGGTTGCTGGAGTTTCCATGCATCTTCCCCAAGGCGGGACCAGAGTTCCCAGAGGCTCAGATGAGACCTGGAGTGGAGAGAAGAGCCAGCTGTGGGCAAGTGTGTGAGGTCTCCGGGGGAAACGGGGACTCAGAGCCACCTGTCCCTGCTGAACACACCCAGAGTCACATCCTGGAAACCTGTGTGGGTTGTGGGGCTTTGAAGATAAAAGCCACAGGCTCCAATGGCAGGAAATGATGGGGACCTCACACGGGCTGACCCACATCTGTCAGCATCAGGTCCTGAAGCATCAGTGAGGGCTAGGCGAGCTACCACAGTCGTTCACAGCTCCATCTCCTGCAGCCATGGCCTGTTCTCTCTGGGCACAGCCTGGGCAGCGCTGGAGGAAGAGGCGAGGAGAGCCATCCCCGCCCGGCAGGATTCTCACACCGAGCTCTCAGGCCCCTAGTATCATGGAGAAGGTTGTGGCCTCTGCTCCCATCCCCAGGGACCTATGCTGAGCTGGGGTGTTGGAGCCTGCTCAGGGCTCTGCCGCCTCTTGAATATCCCAGTCAGGAGGCATTTCCTTGCCGTCAAGCTCTTTACATAATGATCTCCGTCAATCCTCATTCCACCCTCAGAAATACAGATTATTATCCCTCCTCCACAGATGAGGAAACTGAAGCTCAGAGAAGGCAAGTTACCTGCCCAAGGTCACACAGCTGAGGAGAGAAGGATTTTACCTGATTTTACCCCAGACAATCATCAGGCCCCAAGCTCTTAAGAGTATTTCTCAAAGCTCTTCATGATTATGTCTCAAACATTTCTAGCTAAAGCCCACCTACCCAACTTCTCCACAGGGTTGGGAGTAGGGGGAGTAATGTGTCATAACAAGGAAGCTTCTAGGCACACACGTGAGCTGCCTATGAAGTTCTCCATGACAGATCAGGAGGGGATCGGAGCTTGGAGTCTTTGAACATTCCATTTTGGAATATCTTCCACTGCCATCCCAGTGGAGAAGGATAAATCTGATAAACCCAGGGCCAAGGGTGGGCCCTGCAGTGCCAAGATGCTGAGCAGGTTGGGGGAGCAAAAAAAAAACATGTCTGTGTTTTTAAACCATGTTGCACATTCTTGGGGAGGCTGTCTGAGGCCCTCCAGAATGAGTCCTTGCTGTCACCTCTGTACTCACCTGCTTTATGTTTGCATAGCTTGATGTCCACGCAGACTTCCTGGGGCTTTTTGCCAGCCAGGATGTCCCTGGAGATGAGACGAAGACACGTCCTCATGATCTTCTTGCAGGCGCCTCTCAGGAGCCCCAAATTCCTGCACACCCGGGATGCAGCCTCGTTGATGGTGGCCTGTAGCAGCGGCACCAGGATGGGACAAAAGAATCAGATGAGCCCTACCCAGCTCTGTCACCCTATAGAACTCAGCAGCTCTGGGCCCTGGGCAGCTCTGGTGATGAGAGCTGGCTGAGAGAAGCCAGTGCCAGCTAGCTGTGGGAGCTGAGACTGGAGAGACAGGGCTCGGCCCCAACTCCCAGTCCCCAAAGCCCTGGCCCAAGCCTGGCCAGTAGGGGCTTTTGAGAGACAGACAGTTGGCCTTGCCAGAGTCTCAGCCCCCTGTACACACGCGCCCTGTTATCTGTGTGGAGAATGGAGCCCACGGCTACGAGACCCACATTCAAGGCTCTGCCTACATAGTTTCCTGGGTCAAGGGCCTGGCTGGGGCGCTCCACCTACAGAGGGTGTGTGGAAAGGTCGGGAGGGGGTCAGAGCTTGGAGCCTTGGCACATTCCATTTTGGAATATCTTCTACTGCCATCCCAGTGGAGAAGGATAAATCTGAGTACCCAGGGCCGAGGGTGGGCCCCACAGTGCCAAGATGCTGAGCAGGTTGGGGGAGCAAAGGAGAGAGATGGAGAGAGAGTGAAACAAGGGTTCTTGGTAGTGACACATCCACTCATTAAGCACCTACTCAGTGCCAGGTGTGGAGCTCAGCACATCCTACCCTCTGGCTTGTTGAAAAGGCATAGGCAGCTTGGGAGGTAGGGGTCATCATCCGTCCCATTCCGCAGATAAGAAAACTGAGGCTCAGAAAGCGTGAACGATTTGCCCAAGCCGTGCAGTTAGGAAGTGGCAGATCTGGGATTTATCAGTCCTGACCCAGGCCCCCACTGGAACCAGCCCCTCAAAGCTCTGTCTTGGACTACCTTCTTTGGGGACAAGTTCCCTTTGAGAATTTGATGGGAACCATGCACACTCTTCCTCCCACTTTCCCTCTCCTACAGTGTCCCAATTTCACGGGATTCTCTGAAGTCCATCCACAGACACTGAGGGGCCCACAGAGCCCCTGCTGGGAAGCTCTGGCGCAGCCGGAGGTCAGACCCTCCCCCAGCGCCCCGCTCCAGGCCAGCTGTGCTGGGTGCTCTGGGCCCCTGCCCATTCCCTTGAACAGCGGGCAGAAGCCTCCACCAGTCCAGGCCTCACCTCATTGGGCTGCTCTCCCACCAAATCCTCCAGCTTCTGGAGTATCTTCCGACAAGACCAACAGGCGATGCCCTGCCGCTCTCTTTCCGTCAGCAGGTCACCCTGTCAGGAAAGGAAGTCCCTCGAGGTGGTCTCTCAGACACCCCGAGAGCCCTTGGAAGGGCCCCAGAAAGGGGCCCTTGGGTGTTTCCGAGGCCGGCAAGATCATCTACGATCTTTCCGCCCTTAAGGGCCTGAACCAGACTGGCTGGCCCCTGCCCACCTTCTTGCTAGTCTTAGACGGGCTGACAGACCCCGGAACCTGTCCCCACACCCACAACACCTTTCCCAGCCCAGCACTTGCCCCTCTTCTGTCCTCCGGTCAGACCCCAGAGGACCCTTTTGGGGAGAGCCCAGCCAGACTCTTGCAGCCCCTCCAGTCAGGAATGAGTGTGAATAAAACCAGCATCTTCAGCTCTCAGCCCTGCCTCCCCCTCCCCCATCCACTGGAGATCCCCAGCCCTCGCCCCTGGCGCTATACAGGGAGGAGAGAAAGGAGAGGTACTGTGGGAGGTGAGCAGGAAGCCAGCTGTGTACCTGGAGGTCCTCCTGAGTCAGGCCCTGGCAGAACTGCTCTCCATCAGACAGGTGGGCTGTCGCCAGGTCGTAGCTCTCAGGGTTCAAACCAGAAAAGGTCAGACCTGGGGAAGAAACAGCATCAGCATCCCCCCGCAGGTGGAAGGAGAGGGAAAAGTCAGTTCTCCTGGCTGGTGGGGAGCCCAGGAGGTGACTGGGGCCCAGGACAGGAGTGGGGCCTTGTGAGGAGTCCTGGAGGCCTCTCCTCCCACTCTGCCCTGGGGCCGCTCTGAGCCACCCTCAGCCAAAGACACAGGCTCTCAAGTTCCTGCCGGAAAGCCAAGAGGAAGAGACTCACCTCTCCCCGACCCATGCACCCCCTTCCCATCTCTCTGTCTCTCTCTCTCTCTTTCTCACACACACATACACACAAACACACACACACACACAAACAAACACACACACACACACAGTTTTAGGGGTTCGTCTCAAAGGGAACTTCCTTCTTCTTTCAAGATATTCTCTTTCTGATTCTTTCTTTTTCTCTTGCCTCCCAAAAAGAATTCATGTCAGGTGGCCCAATGCAATCCACCCTCCCTTCCAGAAGTGTCTTTACCCTCACTAAGCCCCTGGAGCTCACAGTGATGCCAGGGACTGGGTGAGAGGAGGGGTGCAAGGAGCAGGAGGTGAGCCTTGAGCAGTGAGAGGTCCCCCCTCGCTCACAAGCCCTGTCATAATCCTAGCCCCTGTGGGCCAGAAGAAACATCAGACCCACTGATGAGGGTCGACGACCTTCATGACACAGATGGAGAGGCAGAGGCCCAGGAGGGAAAGGGGGACCCAGGCCACACAGCATGATCAGCAGAGCTAGGATTGGAGCCCCGGCCAGGGCTCACTCCCTTCCTACTAGCTGCCTCTCCCCGTCGGCCAGGTCACTGACAGGCTGGCGCTGAACCTGGCTCTGAGAGAAAGGCCCAGCCTCCACGACGGTGGCAAGAAGGCTGGTGAGGTCCTGGAGACCCAGGGAGCCTGTGGTGCTCCTGCTCGGGGCTCACCAGGCAGGGCCGGAAGGAGCTGTCAGCATCTGCACCAAGGGGGATGTCCTTACCTGGGGTGCCCAGGAGCGCCGAGGCAAGGAGCAAGAGGGCCCGGGAGGTCATGGTGGGGCAGCTGCTGAGGCGCCCTCCACACCCCATTTTATGGAGGCTGGGAACCCGGCTGGGTGACCTGGCCAGGTCCTTCTCCCGGCCACCTCCCCATGTCACTGGGTTTACCACAAACACCAAAACCAATCTGTGGAGAAGTAGGGGGGAGGAGTAACACGTCAGAAGTTCCATGCCCCCCATCATCTCACCTTCCCCCACCCCCACACTACTAGAACTTTCTGAGCTGAGAGGGGTTTGCTGGAGGGCATCAGAGGCCATGGTGCCCACTCTGCCCGGGATACAGTAATGGAAGGAGAAATCCCTGCAACTGAGGGTCAGGCAGGGCCCTTGGCTACGTGAGCATCCAACCCCTCCGCCCCTTCTCTCCCTCCTCTCCTGGGGTCTCAGCTGGTGTTCCTCCATCACATGCCTCCTCGTATCCCTGCTCCCGCCGCAGCCACTTAAGCCAATGTAGCACAGATTTAGCCGGATTTAGAAAAAGTCCCAACTCTCCATCCTCCTTCAGCATTCTCTCTAATTACTGCACCCCCTTCCACCTCCCCAGCAATCCCATCATCAGCTGAGTCCCAAGCTTCAGCCCAGCCTCTTTCTCCAAAACATTGTTATCTTTCCTGAGTCCATTGGGGCCCTGCTCTCCACTCGGCTTCTGCTGAGAAGAAAGAGGATGGAGTCCCAAGGCGGGCAGGCCTCTTACAAGCTGAGGCATGCTCAGGGCATCACAAGCAAGATTCTCCATCTCTTGGATCCACAGTCCCCTCTCTGTAAAATGGGCGAGGTGTTGCCTGCTCACAGGGCTCCAAGGTGGCGCGTTTGCACGTGGGAGGAAGCTTTGCAGCCTGCAATGTGCTAGGCAAATGTAGGCTGTTATCATGGGCTAGAATTCCCTGCGGTGAGTCTGCGAAAGCTGGTTCTGCGGGGGCTAAAAGGTGCTATTGGGGCGAGTGGGGAGGCAGGGTTCCTGTCCTCACGCGGAAATGCCGGGCTGGCGAGCAAGGCTGGCTTCCCACGGACTCCTCACACCTTCACCATGCCAGAGTGTGTGCTGGACCCCAAAGCAGAGCCCTCTGGCTTTCCCAAATGTCTTTGGCCACAAAACCTTTTGGTTGAGGAGCCACTAGAGGGTTTGAGTGGCAGTAACTGATCTGGTCACCTTCTCAGGCTGGTGGGACCAGGAGGGTTACTGGCCTAGCAGTCTCTGGAGCCTGAGCGGCAGTCGTCTTGGAGACAAAAAACAGACAGACAGACAGACAGTCAGGCCCCTCCGCAGACAGTCCGACTGGGGGTCCTCCTCATTCTCACTTCCTTTCTCAAATGGAGGCTGAGTTGAGAATAGGGAAAGCAGGTTTGCTACACCCCATGGTGGATCAGACTGAACCGAGACGGGCAGGGGGCCCCTCAAAGACTTTCTGGCTGCTCACCCCAACCCCAGGGAGGCAGATGCATTTACACACTCACCACACACACTCACTCACATCACACACCTACACACAGTCATACCAACTCACAGTCACACACTCATTCACACACACTCACAGACACTCAGACACACACACTCCCAAACACTCACACACCTACATACAATCACACACCAACTCACAGTCACACTCTCAGACACTCACACACACACACCCCACCTTTATCCCTGCCCATTGTGGAAGCCACTGAATGCCAGACTAAAGAGCGTGGAATTTAATTTAGGCACTTTTTTGTCTCTTATTTTTATGGAAAAAAATGTTAATCAGATAAGTAAGAAAAAACAAATGAAACCACTCATAATTCACCGAACAGATATAAGCCAGTTAAATATTTACAAGGATATCCATTTATACTTGTAAATACATATATTTATAAATAAGTGTAGTTTAGGTATAATTATAATTATATATCATAAAAACCATTTTTAAGATTTTTTTTGATGAGGAAGATTGGCCCTGAGCTAACATCTGTCGCCAATCTTCCTCTTTTTTTTTCTCTCCCCAAAGCCCCAGTACATAGTTGCATATCCTCGTTGCAAGTCATTCTAGTTCCCCCATGTGGGACGCCATCACAGCATGGCTTGACAAGCGATGTGTAGGTCCACACCCAGGATCCGAACCAGCGAACCCCAGGATGCCGAAGCAGAGCACACAAACTTAACCACTCAGCCATGGGGTTGGCCCCAAAAGAACAATTTTTAAACAGCTCTTTTCACTTAACAAAATATCATGAACATCTTTCATGTCAATAAATTTAGATTTCCTTCACCAGTTCCACTGGTTGCCTAATATCCTACATTAGGGATGAACCATGACTGAGTCCTTTGGTTCTGGGACTCACGTGTCCTCCGTGGTGCTTCCACTTGCGGAGCAGAGGCTGAGAAATCCCTCTGATGGCTCGTGCAGTACTCCAGGTGAATGATACCAACACCTTTTTCAGACCGCGTGCTTCATGATCTCAAGATGGCTGCTGTAGCTCCTCCAGACCTCAGGGCCTCATCCCAGGTGGAAAAATAGAAAAAGTGAAGCAGAAAGAGGTGGTACCTATACAAGAAAAGCAAATCTTTCCCAGAAACCTCCATCTCCGATTCATTGGTACTTCTCGGTGCTACCCCGGCTGCAAAGGGCTATAGGGAAGGAAGCCTTTGCTGGGCTTCTGTTGCCACTTTGAACAAAATTGAGATTTTGCAGGAAGATGAGAAGGAATGGGAATCGGGCACGCAATAGCAGCATTGGCTACAGGAGGACTTCTTGCTAAAAGAGGCATTTTGAAGGAAGATGATAGAATTTTGTAGCCAATTAGATATAGGAAATAGAGGAGAGAGGAGGCAAAAGTTTCCAATAGTTGGGGCCTAGGAGACTGGTTGTAAAGTAGAAAAGTCAGGAAAAGGAGCTTGTTTGTGAAAATGGAGTTTGAGGGGTTGCATTTTTATCCAGCTATATGGTGACTACTTGAGGGCAGAGGCACCTCGGGGTCAGGATCTCCCCACCACGACTAGAACAGCCCTCAGACCAAATGGTCCAGTGATGTCAAACTCGACTCACCTCATATAAAGAAACTAGGACTCGGAGAGGTCCAGGGAATTGCCCCAGGACTCACAGCTCGAAAAGGATGCATCTGGAGATTTGAACCCGGGGCCTGTCTGAGTCCAAAGCCCAAGCCTTTCCTCAACTCCAGTCCGTCTCTGTCCCTAGGCTTCCAGGGCATAGGTGCTGCCCTCTCACAGCCAGGTCGAGCACTGATCCCTCCACTCTGCCCACCACCTCTGCTCTAACCACTTGTAGAGGCTTATGTGTGAAGACCACATGAATTAAGGGGAAAAGTCCCCAGAAGGTGACTCACGTCTTTCTTTGTTGTGGGGTATTTGGTAAGACCAGATATTCCAGTAAGACCTTGGGGGTTGAGGGGTACCAGACGAAGTTTATGCAGGTCACCACAAACCTCCACCCAGGCCTCTGGGGTCCCTTGTGAAGAGAAACTGGGGCAAGTTCCACCTTCGTCCTACTTGTGGGGTCCCGGGGGACCAGCCCGTTGCAAGTCAAGCCCAGGCCCCCTGGGAGTTTCTGTGTGAAGGCTATTGCTTTCTGTATCTTCTTCAAGAAATCTTTACTTTCTGCAAGGTCATGGTGATATCCTCTGATTTTCTTCTAGGTGCTTTATAGCTTTAACTTTTACATTTAGGCTTATGATTCATCTCAAGTGAGCTGGGTTGAGATTCTGTCGTTTCACATCAACTTCTTGGAAAGAATTTCCTTTTCCCATCGAATTGCTTTGGTACCTTAGTCAGAAATCAACTGACTGTATGAATGTGGGTCTACTTGTGGACCCTTAATCATAGCGACTACTACTTCAATAATAATAAGAAGAAAGCAATTCGCTTTTTTAAATGAGCACAATATTTAAACAGTTAATTCACAAAGGAAGAACAGCCTATAAATATTTTAAAAAGTGCCCAAGATCATAAATTATGAGGGAATTCTATATTAAAACTACAATGAGATGATGGCGTCAAAATGACTAAAATTAAAAAGACAAGATCTCACTTATATGTGGAACCTAGAAAAAAAAACCAAACTCATAGATACAGAGAACAGATAGGTGGGTGCCAGAGATGGCGGCAGGCAAAATGGGTGAAGGTAGTCAAAAGGTACAAACTTCCAGTTAGAAAATAAATAAATCATGGGAGTGCAATGTACAGCATGGTGACTATAGTTAATGATGCTGTATTATATATTTGAAAGTTGCTAAGAGAGTAGATCTTAAAAGTTCTCATCATTAGAAAAAAAATTGCAACCATGTGTGGTGATAGATGTTAACTAGACTTATTGTGGTGATCATTTCACAAATATACATATATCAAATCATTGTGTTGTGCACCTGAAACTAATACAATGTTATATGTGACTTATATCTCCATTTTTAAAAAGTGAATAATAATGCTTATTGTGCAAGGTTGTTGGGAGATGTTAAAAATCATATTAAAGAGTTGGCACTTAGAGGGAAAAAAAGACAATCCCAAACACTGATGAGGATGTGGAGCAACCGTACTTCAAACACTGTTGGTGGGAGTATAAATGGTACAATCACTTTGAAACTTGGATGGACAGCTTTGCCTGGCGTTAAGTATACACCTGCCCTATGAGCAAGCAGCTCCACCCCTACAGCTTCACCCCACACTAAATGAAAGCACGTGCACATACAAAGACTATACAGGAATATTCAGACTTTGGACCCAGTAATTACACTCCTAGATACATACCCAAAAGAATCAAAAACAGGCACTCAAACAAATATTTGTATGTTAATGTTCATAGCAGCATTATTCACAATACCCAAAAGTGGAATCAATCTAAGTGTCCATCAACAGATGAATGGATTAACATAATGTGGTATACACATACACTGGAATATTATTCAACCATAGAAAAGAATTAAGTTCTGACACACACTACAACATGGATGAACCTTGAAAGCATTATGCGAACTGAAAGAAGCTAGACACAAAAGGATAAATATTGTATGATATCACTCACATGAAATATCTAGAATAGGCAAAT